GGAGAGATAGAAGAGAGGGCAGATGAGGGGAAGGGATATTCAGAATGCATGCCATCTTGGGGTAGGGGAGGGGCGAGATGGGGTGAAAATTTGGAACTCAAAATCTTGTGGAAGTAAATATTGAAAACTAAAAATAAATAAATTTATATTTTAAAAAATTTTTAAAAAAGAATCTGAGTATAACAGTGTTTTGTGCATACTAGGCCCTTAATGAATGTTGTTCAATGGAATTGAAGGTACTTAAAATTTAACCACTCTGCCTTTTATATTTTCTCAGTGAAACACAGGGTGAGGAGGATGTCATGGCATTTCCAGAGAGATGGCTTGTGGATAACTTGGACCATGGACCTTATTGTAGTTTCTTTAAGCCCCTTTCCCTGTTTTTTTTTTTTTTACTAAACTTGACATGACAAAGATGAAGTATATAAACAAAAAGAAATATGGCAGCATTGAATGTGGTCAGGCTCTATTTTCAGAAAGCAATCTGTTTCCTTGGAAAAGATGATACGCTCACCTGTTCACTCGTAAGTTGAAAATGGAGTTATATCTTGGAAACGAGAGAAGAATGTCAGTGCCTTAGGAATCTAAAGAGCCTGTGTTGAATGCCCATATTTTTGTTGTATGCTCATAATTCAGTTAATTCAATGTGGTTTTTTTTTTGTTTTATTTGCCAGTTTCATTTTTATAAGACCTAGTCATGTATGCGTATGTGCAATTTGTTATTCCCAGGCTTTTATCACAACGTTTCAAGTAATAGGGCATAGGACGTTTCAACAAAAGATCAGACAGTTTGAAAAACGTGTTATAGCTAAAGAAATAGGTGGTCAAGTTTGGGAGTGATTCTCTAGTCAGATTATTTTATTTTGGCTTCACAAATACTCGTTTCTCTTTTGCTGCTCTCTTTTCTCTCTCATGAAGGTGTAGTACACCAAGTATAATTCGAGGTGGCATTACAGAAGTCATAGATTCATGGAACTAGCAGAGTCTTTAGAGACAGTGTGATCCAACTCTATCATTTTATTGATAAGGAAACAGGCCCAGATATGTGAAATGACTTCTTCACAAATTCTCACAATAAATTAGTAGTGAAATGAAATAATACTAAGATCTAGGTGTCTCCTGACTCCCATTCAACTTCTCTTTTCATCAAAATACACACCTTCAAAAGGATCTCAAATATTTAGCTGTGAAAATTATTCAAGATGTTTCCATTGGAGGCAATGTAGTGTAATGGGAAAGAGTACTAGATCTGTAGTCAGGGAATCTGGTTTCAAAACCTTGGGTGACTTTTAGCAAGTCACTTAACTTTTAACCTTCTGGGCTTCAATTTCTTTATCTGTAAAGGGAGGAACTTGAAATGGATGGACTCTGATGTCGTATTCAAAGGCTCCCCTTTTCCTCTAGGATAAAATACAAACTCTGCTGTTTAGTACTGAAAACCCTTTACAATCTCACTGCAACCCATTTTTCTAGATGCATTTCTTTTTCTTTCCTCTACACAATTTATGTTCTAGCCAAACCAGGTTACTTTTTGTTCCATGTACAAGAAATTGCATCTTCCATGTCTGTGCCATTGCTTTCCATGTATAAAACATTCTTTCTCCCCATATTTACCTCTTTAAACACCTGGATCCCTCGAGCTCAAGTGTTGCCTTGAGGCCTTTCCCAATTCCCCCAGTTATTAGTGCTCTCTTGCCACCCAAGAAATTACTTTGCCTATATTTTGTATTTACTGATCTGTGTGCATGATATTTTCCCTCAGTAGAATATATACACATATATACATATACACATATATATATTTATACATATGTGTACATATACCATATATGTGTATATGTATATATACATATCTCTATCTACCTATCTATATATGGAGACAGACAGACACCAAGTCCTTCACAGCATGGACTCTATTTTTTTTTGTCATTCTATTGCAGCACCTGCCTCAGTGCCTGGCACTAGGCAAGCAATTCTATGTGTATTATATTGAATTATGATTTGTAATTGGCAAGATATAGTTATTCTTATGATGTACATTGTAATATGTTGAAGTTGTTTACAGGCTATACAGTCCTTCACTGTTCTCACTGTCTCATTTGTGTCTTGTCACACAATGACTCCTCAAACTAGAGAATATTCTTAAAGGTTTCGCTTACCTAGTGTTGCCAAAAGGAAATCTTTTCTGTAACTTTAGTAATAGGTACTCCTTGATGCTTATTGAAACATGAGAAATGTATCTGACAGATCAAACTAGGGGTGGTGGTATCGAAACCAAAAATCAATAGCAAAGATCAAGATGTTTAGCAGTGCTATAGAATACCTTGAATATGCTTACTAGTAATAGGACTTTGGGCAAGTCACTTTACTTTTCTGGGACTCTTTGTCTATAACATGAAGTGCTTGGACTAGGTGACCTCTAAAATTCCTTCCAGTCTTAATCTATGATTCTTTGATCTTATAACTGATGGTCCCCTTTAAAGGACATGATTAAAATTGGTGTCTTTTTTATGTACTTGGTTTAATCTTTTACACAGTCTTACATTTAAATGAACCGTCCATACATTTATACCTTCAAATGTATTTCTCCTCTAAAACTGGAGTAGGAAGAACATTTAAGTAGATACTGAAAGGTCTTAGCAAGGCAAACTTAGATCCAACCTAAGCTTGAATCATTCATTTAAATGATTTATATTTTAAAGCACCAAAAGGAAAATGCAGAAGAATTGGTATTTCTTGGCACAAAGAGAAGTATGAGTGAGCCTTAATTGTCTACAGAACATGAAGGACTATTAAATGGGTGGTAGAAAGCATCTGTTGCCTGCTTCCTGAGGGTATGTTGAGTGAATGGACTGAAATGACAGCAGGAGGGATTTCAGTTAATCTTAGTCTTTTAGAGTTCTTATTCACCCAGTGATTACCTAGTCCAGATTCTTTACTTTATAGATGCAGAAAAACAGAGACCCAGAGCGACCAAAAGACTTGGCTTCAGGTCATATAACTAGGTGGTGGTAGACATGGATTTAGAATCTGCCTCCTAATCATTCATTCCACTTTCTACCATACCATTCTGCTTCTCAAGAGAAAACAAAGTTATGAAATGTCTTTGTGGGGAGGAGAGGTAGTATCAGCTTTGGAAGGGACCTTTGTAGGCATGTGGCCTAACCCTCTTACTTTTTAGATAAGAGAATTGAGGACCAAAGATGTTTAAGTGATTTGCCCAGTGTCATGCAGGTGCTAAGTAGCAGAGTTAGGATTCAAATCCAGGTATTCTTAACTCCCAATCCTGCACTCTTTCCATTGTATTACATAAAAGCTAATGTTTAGCTAGTATGAGGCAGATAAGGAGTACTAGCTGATTTGGGCCTCTTCTAATCTCATAATTCTCAAACTATATATTCTAGACTTTCATTAGGTTAGCAGGTATTTAGCAATTTAAGAAAGTCTCTTTTAGGCAAGATCTTCATTGCAAGCTGAGACTTGACAGTATCTGTATATTGTACTACACTTGAACAAACATGGCCTTTTATTATAGCATATTCTAAATGATATTTCATGATATCTAAATACATTATAAGCAGTTTCTACTTTGTATACTACTTATCAACTTATTCAAAATACAGGATGAAAGTACCCGGATAAAGTCTCATTCTACTGTTGAAGTACCAATACAACCTGACAAGCCTTTATTAATTATCTACAATTGCAAATTACTGGAGATATAAGGTTAAAAATATAGCCTTGCCCTCAAGGAGTGTATGTTCTATGGGAACTTAATTGTTTTCAAGACAAATGTATGGCAGATCATCACATGTAGCTATAGTTGCTGATACAATGACATACAAGCATCATTTATTGGCCACCATATGTCTTGATCATTAAACCCACTGTAACCAATTTCAATATTCCTCTGCAAGTTATAAATTTGTAATTGATAGAAAATGAAAAAAAAACCCAACAGCAACAAGTAAAAAAACCTGAAACTTTTGCTTGGAGATCACTCAGCTCTCTCTTTCCTTCTCTCCCTTTTTCCCTTAAAAAAAAAAAACCCACAACACAATCAGCTTTTAGAATCAAAAGCTTGGTTCTTTGAAATGAATATAGGTTCAGCATGTTTATTTTGCAGATGGGCTTTCTGAGGTGGAAAAAATGTAATTATAAGAAAAATAGTAAGATGGGAGCTGTTTGAGGCGTAAAGTGCAGCACTTAGAATACAACAGTTACATAAACTCCCTGATTGACAGAGGGATATCACATTAGATGAAAATGATAAGAGACTTAGTGACCTGAAGAATAACTTCCTCTTGACAGTGCCCTGACCCGTTGACCTGTAGCCTGATTCCTGTTAGCTTCACTAACACAGGGCAATTGTCACAGGTGCAGGATAAAAGACATCTTTGCAGAAGCAACCACTGGCCAGAGATGTATTTCTTTTGATGACCACAAATGTGCTATCCTGATAAAGTCAAAAAGTTCTGACCTCCTCTGACCTTTTAGGACATTAAAAATTTACCCAGGAGAAAGAAAAAAAAACCCTACAAGATGCTACATACAAAGAACAGCATTTTCTACTGGGATAGGAGACCAGCGTGGTAACAGAGAAAGGGCCTACTCATGAGGGCAGAGTGATGGTAAATTATGTTATTGTCATTACCCATGAAAGCTTGTTTCTCTCATAACTGTGACACCGATCTAATAATGAAGACTCTTCTCACAACAGACTCCATGGATTTTTTAAAAAATAATTATTAGTAAACTCTTTACTATGTCATACTCTGGAAGTATGTCCTATTCTGAGATGATTCTTTTGTATTTATATGCTAATTGCCTTCTTTTCAGAAGAAGTCAGCTCTTTGAATTTTATTTAAATGTTCTGAAGGTAGTGGCTGTACAGTGTTCATGGATGACACTGGTGACAATTGTGATTCCTTACAGAAGTTTGTGCCGCCTCCTGTTAGAAAACGCATTTTATTCTCTCACTCTCTTTTTTTTTTTCCTAG